ATTTAATAAATGGGGGAAGCGATTACCAAAAAAGTACATGTTTATGCAAAAAAGGAATATAACATACACCGTAGATTCGCAGCTAAAGGCGGCGACGGTGAGGACTTTTTGCCTGCAGCGGGCAAACAATTACAAACACATACCGAAATGCGTTCAAGCTCCAAGTAAAATCGAAGAAATAAACGACAACAGATACAGAAAAAAAAACAATATACAGTACAAAACAATAGTACACAGTTACAGTATACAACGTAGCATGCTTGCCCCCTGGCGCGAATTTGCAGGAAGAGCCCAGCTGCCGTGTTTGCTTCTGTTCCTGGTGGCATGGGCATGCCGAGGGGCGAAGTTCGAGGATGAGGAGAGGAAGGGAGGGGCGAGCATACAGCTAGCCAGTAGCGCACGGATTCGGGGCTGAAGTTCAATCTGTTCGATCCAGTGGAGAGCCCGGATACAGCTAAGAATCCAACGCTAGCTATACCTTCCACAGCCCTCTTCATGTGCACTTCTCGCTAGGTCTCAGGGCTCTTTCGACTTGGTATTCGTGGGGTTTTCGTAATTTCAGCTTTGTGAAGTGCCGGTGCACGCAGTGCTTTTGTCATTGCAGTCAAGGCAGGTGGGAGGGAAATGATTCCAGTATTACTCAAACCATCTCAAACCCCAAATGCTAGGCAGTCCTCTTGCAGTTGCTGTTAGTACTTGTTAGAGCCGTTCTGCTTTGGCACGGTTGCTTTCAGCTTGGAGCATAGATCTCCGAGATTTCGTCGTCAACGGGACATGCTTGTGCTGGTACCGTGTTCCTTGTCCTGGCGGTGTCTTCTCGTGCTTGCCTGAAGTCAAGTGGAGTGCGAATCCCAGAACTCAGCTTTCGCTCACGAATCTCACGAACGTGCAATGTTTCGAGTTGTGAATAGTTTTTGACGAACAGCGCAGAGTTTTCACACGGAGAATGGTGTCGCTGCGCACTGCTTATTACAATCAAATATGCTTCAATGTCCTCCGGAACATTACAGGATCTCCAAAAGTCCTCTAGTTGATGACAGCCTATTTTCAGATGTCCTTAGGGCGCTTTTGTTTTGTGTGTGCTAGTTAATCATGAAAAAGCAAAATTCACATGCGTGGGTTTTGGCGGAAGCAGTTAAACGACGCACACCGAGACGACGGGGAAGAACCCACACGAAAGCACAAAAACCACGTGCATGCGCTGGCGGCCGCTGGCGCTTTTTCTTGCAGACTGGTTCTTGTCGGGCTGCAGTGGCCGAGTTCCGGGGCTTTGAGATTTTGCAGATCTGGTCAATTGAGCTTGAGGCCGGGGCCATCTCGATGTTGCAGAGAGGGGGAACGAAGCCTGAAAGCCAGAGGCCACAAGAAGGAACGAAATTTACATGGTTCTTTCCTGCGGCCTCTCAGGGCGACTCTGATCATCATTCATCATCGGTACGATGACGATGATATTAGCCCATGCTTTGCGACGTCGGGAAGATTTTTCATGCTCTCAGGCCTATGTGTTCCTTGATCGGGGCTTTGCACCCAGGAGAAAGTCCGTGAGGCCCTTGCGGCACTCGAGGCCGAGGATTCGGCGCCAGGGCATCGGGGCAGCAGTAAAGGCGTGGCTTTGCGTGTCAAACTGTGTCAAGGAGGTTGGACCAGGGCTTTGGGTCGGCTTGCGAGGATCAGGGTCAAACTTTGTGTAAGTCCCAAATGTGGCTCCTTGAATAACACGAGGCATTCTCTCACAACGATGTGCGGCCTCAAGTGCTTGACGTGCATACTCTTGAAGCTCTTGTTGCAACAACCGAGAATCCGCATGTCGACTACGCCACTAGTACAGTACGCGCCGACCCACACCATAAGCAACGACTTGGACATTCAGAATTTCAGAACGATGCTCGCCGCCTCAGCGCAAGGCATACCAGGAGACACTTCCAGCACCTTCGCCAGCTGCAGAAAGAGCTTGAAAAACTGGAGGAAGACCAGTCCGACAACGACTTCTGGCAGCGACATCCAAGTGTGTGGCAGAGACGTTTGATGTTTCCCGAAATGTTCGTGCGATGCAGCTCTGCACACTCGTGGCAGATCTAGTTGGGCCACCATGGCATTAATCAGTCCATATCAGAGCAAGGATGTAGAGGGCAAATTCAGACAGCGTATCAGACATGTGCGGCTGCCAACGGTTCTGCTTCCTGGGTTCCTGGGGCCTGACGCCTGCCCGGCCTGCCCAGCCCCAAGGACTCCAGTCTGCCGGAGGCCACGGAGGCCCCGGCCGGCAGCACGGATGCGCGGCGGCACTGGCTCTTTGGACCACAAGGCGCGAATCGGTGATGGAACACCGCCACCACTGCGACAAAGAGCAAGACCAAGAGCATGAAGCGCAAAAGCAACGGCAAGCACACTAGCACCAGCACTAACAACGACGACCACAGCGGCGACGACACGCACGTAAGCAACAGAAACAACAACGACGACAGCAGCAGCAGCCGCAGCCGCGACGAGGACGACGACGAGAGCAGCAGCAGCAACAAAGGAGGAGGAGGAGGAGCTGGAGGAGAAGGAGGAGGAAGCAGCAGCAGTGGCAGCAGCAGCTGCAGCAGCTGTTGCGACCCAACCATGGTTCGAGTGTTCAAAGATTCAGCGTCAGGCAAGTGTCAGGCAGCACGGACTGAACAAAAAGCATCAGGGACGCGTGGGATGGAAGGACGTGCCCAAGTCGGGGAATACGCTGCCGCATATCCCTTAGCATGCCAACCTCAACACGGCACCCTGCTGCTTGCTGCAGATGACGACAACGCCTCCTGTGCTGAGGAGAACACGTCGAGTGACTCGGTGTTGAGAGCATGCTAGCATGGGGAGCTTGAGAAGTCGTTACCCGTTACAAGAAACGCTACGAGTACCACCAATTGGACCACCAATTTGACATGTTCATGTCCTTGACCACAGCGATTCGATAGATCGATTCGATAGAAGGGCTTGTGGTGGTGCCTTTCTCCTTCTGCACCCCTTGCATGAGGCTGAAATTCTTCGTTGTAGAACTCGGTAAGTCTGGTGGGCCAGTGGCCCATGGCTTACTTGTCAATCCCCTCTACCCACTCCTAGTTTGATATCCCAATGCAAGTTGGTTGGACAGACAAGGCTTGCTGAGCAATCTGAGCAACATGACCCTGATGCGGTCGCTTGTTCGACGCTTCTTCGTCACGGAGGACACTCCAAGCCGCGAGGTGGGGCGACATGCAGACAGGCATACGTCGGCCGTTTCAGAGACCGTCTTACATTGTCTATTCAAGGAGTACTGTAGATCCAGAGTGTAAAGTTACTTCACGCTGGAGGGAGACAGGAAGAGTGCTACCCAGTTCTTTTCCATACATTCCAACCGACTCCACCAGGCAGCCGCCTTGGAGTGACTCGGCATGTGGATAATCTCGCACAGCATCACGTCTTGAAAGCTCCCGACCCCGAACCCAAACCATCCCAAACCCCCCAAACCTATCATCCTGCGCCTGGTGAGAGATAGCAGTCATCGGTGCAACCTCAACGAAGATCGGTCTTCAGATCTTGAGGGGTTCGAGGGTGGGTTGACATTGCGGACTAAAGCTCATTAGCACATCCGGTGTTCCGAGATTCAGCGATCCCCCGAGCAGCACCTGCCTAGATGGCGAGGCGTCAGGCCGGCCTGGCAGGTCCACAGGTTTCTAAGCAACTGGAAAACTATTCAAGATATAATAAACATTCAAAACATAAAGTAAGAGAAGTTCGTATGTCTAGCGAAGGTCAGGGCACGGCGTTGTGCAACACAAGCCCCTCAGTGATTCGTGTTCGGAAACAGTCGCGTAAGGAAGCTCCTCAAAAAGCGGCACCGGTACATCAGCGAGAAAATGGAGACGGATCTGTCCGTGGTGCCCTGTGTTTAGTGTGTGACAGCTTAGGACATCGATTGATTGATGCATCGGGGGTATGATTGGCCTAGAGACTGCATGATCTGCTTTCTGCTGCCCACACACCTGGTCCGCGCATCGCGCTTGCTTCCCTCCTTCCTTGCTTGCTTTTTTCTTGCCAGTGCGAGCTGGACCACTCACTGCTTTCCCTGAGAGAAGGGCGGCAGGACTCTAGTCTTATTGGGCGTGGCCACGTCAGGATACCTCATTCGGATCTTCCCGTGCAGTAAATATCCGGCACAATGCCAAACTGGTAGGCATGAAAATAGAGCGGCATTTGCAGCGCGGCATGGAGTTTTTCTTTCGGAGAGAAATTCCGGCTTGGATTTGTCCGCAGGAAGTTTTGTTTTGGCAGCTAAAGCCGTGCTGCACGAGGTACAGCACTTCTCGGTTCCCTCCGTGCTTCCTGCTTGGCCCAGCTCGGAGAAGCAGGCCTGCTGACAAAGCCGAGGGTTTTTGGAAGCTGGTGAAGTCAAGGATGAGGAGGAATAAGAAGCGCCGAATGCCATGTGGATCCGTTCGATTTAAGGAGGGGAAGGAGTTAGCACAGGTGGTAAACGGACTCTCATGATGAGTCAGCACAATTCTCTTTGTCCCTCCACACACCGGTCCTGCATATGTCGGATTTTCTACCGCATTAGGTAGTTCTCCCGTCTTCGAGACAACAAGAAATTAAGGTTTCGCACTCGAATTGTGATCGTGCGTGTTGATGACGAACGTTTTTTTTTGCTTGTTTCTTGAAGTATGATTCAGACCACGACTCCATGATTCTTATTATGAATTATTATGATCATCCGATCATCACCACCTCATTACGTGCATGTGGACAAGTATGCATCCAACTGCAAGCTGCGGTCACGAGCCGGCTTCGGCGACCTGCCTCCCAGCGGCATTTCACAGTCTCCAGAGAGTCGCATGCACCCGTATAGTCTGATCTTGTCAAAACGTGCATTGTGCCCCCTCCTCACAGCCAGCCATCGGTGAGCAAGTCGTCCCTTTCATAGGAGCACAAGAAACAGCTTTTGCAATGAGAAGCTGCAGAGAGAAGCTCTCCCCGCGTGGTTGTGGTAGGTCGCCTTCCTGTTCTTAACCGTGGATGGCTTGGACTTCGAGGCTCGTGAATCGAAGCACCTAGCCCACGAGATCATTGGTTGCCCAAGTTTGCGCTGAGATTGTCTGTCCAATGGGCAGCGAATCTTGTCTGTCCCGGCCTGCGGAATAAACTTCCTGGAGCGTAGATCGTAGTGTTTGCAGCCTGAGACTTAGTAGGACCTTCGCTTCGGTTACTACTGCGGTTTCGTTTGCGAGGATGTTTGGGACAGATTCTTTGCGGACGTGGGGGCGCCCCTTGGCTCGAGGATATTCAGGGGTCCTTGCATGAAGGATCCCATAATTTTGGGTTGGCTGCTCCTCCGGTTTCCCCGGTACAACAGTCATGTGTATCTCTTTAGGGTTTATTGTCCGAGAAGTGTGGCCACACTATGTTGTTCTTACTTTCAGGGTGAATCTAATGGGTTAGCATACCCACGCGGCCCGTGTACGTCCAAAAGGGTCCCCGACACTTGTCTCCCGCTGTTGCGCGGTGCAAGAATTTGGCTCCGCCTCCTATTTTATTTTACATGGCCTGTGCGGCGTGCGATCCACGGTGATGCGTTGCAATCTTTGCTCTCGCGCCCTTGTATTCTTAGAGGATTGCTGCCGTCTCCAGTAGAGCTGGATTCATTCCAAAGTCTAAATCATGGAACTTTTTGGCTGCTCCCGGCAAGATTGGGGTCGTCCTTTTCAATCCCACCGTCGTCATGGTCCTCATGCATTGGGAGTATAGGGCATGGCCTTCTAAACAGGCGCCACGATACGAACCACGCAGAGGACGTCAAAGCAATGCATGCAGCACTGCAGCACACGACAATTTCCAGGCAGATTTGACGGAAGCCCGGCAGCCAATTCCCTCAACAACCTTGAAGCCTTCGGCCGCCTTAGGTATGGTGCTTATTCCATCTATGTCCACCGTGCGAGCAGCAAAGAAGCCGGGGGCCGCCGTTTCGCAGAGGGCTTTGGTGGCCGCTTGTGCTGCAGGGCACTCCTGTGCAGTAGTGATGGTATTGCTGCAGGTGTTGTGGTCGGAAAAGGCACTATCGAAATGTATGGTTCTTGTCGGAATGGTTATTGAAGGTATCACAGTGGAAACCATAATCAGAATGCCACGGATAAAGATGGTCACATGTTGTGACTTGAGGGGCTGTCCAGTCTAGCATTCTTCTTGGCATATCGAATGCCCAGGTTGGTCTCGATCGTGGAGCAAAGCAACGACGCCACTGGGATCTGCACCATCAGGCTTTGGATCGTGGATCTCGAGCTTTGTATCTTGACACATTGTAAGCCATGCGAGAAAAGCGATAAGGAAGACACGCTCCTAAATCCTGCGTGAATCATGAGGCCACGTGCTCCGTCCAAGTGCGCTTGCGGCTTCTGTCAGCGATAGAAGTCGCGATCGCGCATTCTTGCGTATAGCCGCGTACGCCAGTGGGCTGGGGGGCCTTGTGTGTCGGTGGCTTGCACCGTTTTGTGTCTGCAGCACATGTCGTGGAGATGCCTGATAATAGGATTCGGTGTGTGTACGTTGGGAGTCCTCATTTCCAAGACAAGGGATGCGGAAATGGTAAACAAGTATGTAAATTATGCCAATCGCCGCGACAAGACACACAGACTTATGGAAAGGACCGAAATCACGGGCATCAGCGTAGAAGTTTAAGTTTAAGCAGCATAGAACACGCGACAAGACGGTTGCATGGGTTGCTCGGCGGTGGGATTTGCATCTGGCAGCTTGTGGCAGCGAGTCGTGGTGAAGGTGCCTACATGCGCGCAGGCCATGGAAGAAACAGAGCATGGGATCACAGAAGTCCCAGTAAGTGTGTACAACATATATTGTCAATCACATGTGCTACAGGCTATAGTACAACTTACTGCAAGCATCACTTGGACCGAAAGCGCTGTCAAAGCTGATTGTAGGTCCAAAATGCGACAATGGACAGTGCATCACCGTAGAACATAGCAAGGTAATGGCGGGGCAGACAGCGATACGACCCAGCACGGAGTACACCTTGTATCGTAACATGATATCACATGCAACAACATGCTGTAGGGTGACAGAATGCCATTTCATGCAACAACATACCACAGAACATGGCAGAATGGAGTATAACGGAGAGTGTGCTCCACAATATGTTCCATTGCTTTCTACGCAGAAGCACGGCACAATTATATATATATATATACATACATACATACATACATACATACATACATACATACATACACACACACACATATATATATATATATATGTATTCAAGTTTTTTCTGCAGACCTTCATTCGCATTACTGTACCTCGCCGTGAGCATCGAGAGGGAAAACGAGTATGCTATAAGTATTTCAACATTGCGGTGCAGATGTTATGCGTATACAAACCGGGGAACATGGAAACGCGTATGTGCAAGATTTTCTTTCACGCATACATGTCAGTATATGCACCCGTTCTCGCGTATGGACATGTATACACAAGTATGTACATGCTTATGCACGCACGCACATCCATCTATCCATCCATCCATCCATCCATCCATCCATACATACATACATACATACATACAGGCAGACATCGAGATGGTTTCATGCATGCATGCATGCACATAGACACACAAGCAGCCATGAAGGCACAAATGCAGCAGACTTGTTCTTCTGGCTGAGGCCGCTGAGCCGTTGGGGAGCTGTGGAAATACCGCAGGCGCCTGCTTTCCTGGAGTTATCTCGCTGCCTGTTGGGTCATGATTGGTCCTGGTTGGGGTCTCGCCCAAGCATGGCTCGACAGGCAGGAAGTTCCTGCTAGAAGGCCACGGAAAATAAGGTTTGGCCAGCGGCTTCGTTTCAATGTCAAACAGCTTCATGCAGACCCATAAATGCTCGATGGCAGCTTGATGTTTGCTTCGGTGTTGAAGGGTGACCTCGCGAACCACGTATTCGGTTTCAACTCCCCAGTATGTTGCACCCAACATCGAGGGCAAAGCTGTGCTGGACAACTGCTCAAACAGAAGACGGTAAAGTCTCTATCTAAATCTTCGCAGCTTGGAGGGGTCCTGGTGCGTCGGGAGGCCGCGAGACCGTAAGCAAAATGTCGTGCAGCATCTTGGACCTAAAATTCAAAGACTCGCCGCAGTCTTTGATTGGGCAGGTGGAGAATCGCTGGTGCGCGCTCTTTGGCGTCGAAGTGGCATTGCTGCACGCCGCTCTACAGGCCGTCGCCGAACTCCACGACACAGGGCGTTGGGCTTAGGGTTAGTCCTGGCCGTGATGCCTTGAGACCGTGGGGCCACTTCGAATTCCCAGAATAAGAGAGCAGGGGCACTCACCGGCCGGCGAACATGTTAAGCATCCGCTCCGTAGTTGATACCCTTATGTGCCACCGGAGGATGCCAGGAACCAGCAGTTCGTCTTCTTATCCCACAACACGATCCCCCTCAAGAGCGCCTTGACTGTTTTCACCCCAGCAGTTTTTCGGGCATGACAGAAGCCTGTACGCAAGCAGAGTGGGCCTGCTATGGTTCCTCTAGTGATTGGGCAAGCCTGCCAGCCACAGTTCATCGTGGTGAGTGGTAAGACCGTGGACCGAGGCTTCGATTACGTCTACAAGCAACTGGTCGTGAATTCACCTAGCACCAGCAAGTTCTGCTTTGCGGACGCTCGGACTTGAATGCGGGCGAGAGATCTGGGGATAGTTGGATGGTACTGGGGCTGCAAACCTACCAGTTTGGGTCGTGATAGACACTGCTCACAATCTGCACTGTGCCCTTCTCCAAGTATTTTGCACAATGAGCAGTGCAGGGACATATTTATGGGTAGTCTTCGGTGTATGCAGGAGGGGACCGCCAATGTGGCGACAACTCCGCAAGTTGAGGATTCTACCATGGCCTTGATGGAGAAGTTCTGATGTGCGCATTGTGGCGGTTTGTAATGCCGATACTTGTACCCTGGGGCACGCCGGACTAGACTTCTCATTCGCAGGTGGCGCCATTAATTTAATGACCGTGATCGGCGCGGCTTTGCACGCTGGCTCGAGCAGCTGTCTTGGCTTGGCGCGGCCCTCCGCCGTGTTGATATTGTTGCTGCTGTTCTTACCATTCCATTTGTTGCTACTGTTGCACCAGCGCCAGACCTAATTACCAGCACGCACCACTTCTTCTACCGCTACTATGACGACGGCGACAGCGGGGGGCCGCCGGCACCTACTGCTTGCTACGTACAACTTGCTACTGCTACTTGCTACTTACTACCTACTACAAGTACTTCTTCCTGTGTGCTACGTGCTACTACTACCTAGTAACTGCTTCATCTGAAAAACAAGCCTGAGCCGTCGGAGACAACGTCGTAGTTTCAAGTACGTTCTGTCCGTGAAAAATTCGAGGTTTGACCGTAACCCGACCCAAAACCTTGTTACTGTAGCCTTGAGAAAGCTCTAAGCACCAAGCTGTAACCGCTCGCCCTTCCAAGGAGCCCGCTTTCCATAAGATGGCGACCTCCGAGACCATCAGGAACGAGCTGCGTCGGCAGTGTGTCCTAAGGGCTGCACCGAGACTTGGGGATCAGAGTTCGGGATTCCAGGGTTGGATTATGCAAGTTGGAGAAATTGATTACAACACTCACAACCACGAGAAAGTCCCAGCGCCCATGAGCGTGTTAGCTTCTGCCTATCCGTAGCATCTCTGAGAACCCTTCTGTTCTTGTCGTGAGTTCAGGGGTGGATCAGATGAGGTTTTGCAGGAGCCGGTGATAAGTTTTGTGCCTCGAAGGTCTTCCGGGACTTCTATCGAAGCCTCTCTCCGCGTGCCTTGGGGCAAGCGTGGCAGATTCTGGTTGAGAGTCTTTTCACAGTTTGTGCGGGCTTACTGAAACGGCTCCAACGAGCCTAGGCATTCTGAAACACCATCAATGGGTGGTCCTAAAGCGCGAACACGCCGAGATCGTCATACAGCGGGCAACGGAGGCGTTGGTTTTGTGGAAGGAGACCTGGCAGTACGCGGCCCCAGACCTTCTCAACATGGGCGAAGGCTGTAGCGACGAATCAGTGCCGGGAACTGCACTTCTCCTGGACCTGGAGAAGACCGAGCGCAGTACAGGGAACACGTGGGTTGACTTATCCCGTTTAGGGGTGGAGCAGCAGTGCTTAACATATGTGCTTTGGAGACATTGTTTCACGGATTCGCGCCTGGACCACTCGGAAAACATTGCGAAAGATCTAGACATTGTGATGAAGCATGGGAAGTTCCGCATGCTCACAGACCGTGAGTTCAACTTCTTCAAATCAGCCTTGAAGCGTGAGCTCAATGGATACCCTGCCGTGTTTGACACTCTGTCCATCGAGTATCTCTGGAAGCTCGTGCAGGAAGGCTTCATGTTCGCTCGCAAATTCGTGAAAGAGCTGCGCGTCACGGTGGGGAATGGCAACTTTCCACTTGCTGAAGTGCTCCCTGCCTTGTGGGATCTTATTGATGACTTCAATGCCTCTCAAAGGATTTGGACACGGCTTTCGACGGAAGGTAAGCCAAGGCGTGTATAGCACGTTTGACCCTGGCTGCATCCCCACCCATGCTGCAGCAACCTGGGGCCCATGATCACGATGCGCCTGCACTGTGCCGCGTGCAGTTGCAACGTGCCCTGCCAATTGTTTTCTGGATGTATCGGTGGCATGGGTCTGATTTTTCAATGTTGCTAGTAGGGTCATGCCTCGTTGCTTCTGACTGGCATCTTGCATCTGGTTTTGCGCACTGCACACAGGCTTCAGTATGTCACCCTCTCAGTGTCCTGCAATTCAGCATTAGGCGTTTGCGGCTGGAACTCGGCATACAGTGTGCAGGGCCGAAGCCACAAAGGCTCTGTTGCGAGGACTCACAGCAACTCGATTCAGCTACCTGCTCTCGAATTCGTGGCTGTCAAATTAGGCCCAATTTTTTCAATGCACCGCAGACTCCAGAGTAGAATATTTGGAGTTCTCCGCCAGGACCGGAGTCCAGGCAACCTTGAAGAGAGAAAGAAGATCAAGCACAACAAGAAAAGTTACAAGCAGAAAACCACCATTAGTTCTAGAATCATGGTGAATGTTGAACAGCCCTGCTGAGAAGGGAGTGCAACCACACCAGTGGGTCTGCGGATCTGGGGCACATGCCCAACTTCACGCCCTAGGTGTGGATGCATGCACGCCAGCGGACAAACAACCTCAATTCCTGCCCTTGGTTTTCTTGGGCTCAGGCACAAGGTCTACACCAGCGGTTAGTGTAGTACCGGACAAAACTTACCCTCGTGACTCGTGAGCGCAGCGGAATGCAAGATCCTCGTGTCCCTGCACTGCGCCGAAACTGTCGGCTTTGGCGGTGCCCGGTTGTACGTGGGTTTGATAATCTTCAGGACTGAGCCCTTAGCAATCAAAGCGCCAAACATGGAGCGAATATACAAGGTCCAAAAGTTGGAACTTCTCGATCTCTCCCGTCAGCATGACCATATTGTTCTTAGTAACACAAGTCCGACTCTTCTCAGGCGATTGCGAGATTCAGGACACTCAGCGTGCGGGTGAGCAGAAAACGGGGGCAAGTTAGTGCTGTTTAGTAATTAGTCGGGAGCAGCAACAACAACGACACGAGCAAAGATAGCTGTCCAAATCCACCACCATTGGGAAGCACGCCTTCGGGGAAAGGAAGCGAAGAAGCGATCTTACATAGGTGCGCAAGTCGCCCCGCTTGGTGCCGAAGACCCCAAGTACCTGAGCACCTCGGCAGCTTCCGAAGTTCAGAGTTCAGACTTTCGGATGCTGCCCTCGGGGCGTATAGCCACCCGGACTAATCTCTGTCCTTACTATATAACTCTAGCGTGAAGCCTGACTCTGCTTTAGATTACAGGTTTCTGACACATGAGTTGATGTTCCGAGATACCTGACTTTGGGGATTAGGCTTGAGCATAGCGGGCATCATCACATCATCACCACGCTCAGGAAACAGCCTTGAACCAACAAGCTAGAAGTGCCAGAAGCTGTTGGTTCTGACGTCGCACAGGCCTTTTCTCCTGCGCGCCCTGCAAGGCCTGGTTCCGCTTCAAGGGCCGCAGCAATCGCAGATAGATTTGCAGCTGCTGCTAAGCAACAGCGACGTTCTACCATCACCACGACGACTACTACTACCACCACCACTACGACCTACTGCAATTTACTACTAGTACTACAGCTGCTGCTGCTGCTACTACTGCTGCTGCCACGACTGCTGCTACTACTGCTACTGCTCCTGCTCCCGCCACTGAGGGCCGGGATACAAACAAGCACATTATCATAGGGTTATTATGAGCCCTAGTGATTTTCCAAATGCTATGCGGACATGAAATCGTCAACAAGATCCTGAACGGTGCCGTATACATCCTGCAGCTTCGGGTCGTAGGACCCCTCAGTGCAGGAGATCATGTGGCTGATCGGTCAATCGTAAAGGTTTCAAGCTAACGAAGCATGCTAGTGGCAGTCGCCGTTCAGGGAATCGAAACAGAAACAGCAGTCGCCGCAACACACGGTCGGAAAGGCCGTTAGGATTGATTAAGGGAAAGTGGCGACGAGCCTACTTGGATTTGCGGGTGTCCAGCATCCATGGCTACAGCTGCACCTGCTGCTGTGAGCTTCTTGCATGCCAGCGTCCGGCGAATGGATGCTGGGATTTGTGGCAGGGGCGCCTGTACCCGAGCGCCGGGTGAACGGAGGATACAACTGCTCACTGCAATGGCACGGATTGCTGCCCCCACTTCGACCCATGGGCACCCAGCAAGCATTAATCAAGCTTTGAGGTGAGCCTCTCTTGATACGGGTGAAGCAGAAGAACAACTAGTGCGATGCGGCATATCTTTAAAGCCTGAAACTGCTGGCAGCTTTGCCAGTGCCCAGGCTCTTGGCACCTGGCTTCTCTTTGGGCCTTTGGGGCTTTTACCTCTGCCGGCAGCCCTGGCGCAGTGTCAGGCACTGCAATGGAAAGCACAGACTACAGGGATGGTTCTTGCGTATCTTAGGCCTTCTCAGACTGGTTGAGGAGATCACAGTTCGGGAAACGAAGCAGATGGGCCAGCGCAGACGAGAAAAGCTGCGAGAGGGGGTTGAAGGGTCGCTTGAGTTTTGGAAGGTATACCCAGTCGTTCAGGGACATCGTGTCCGCATGCAGGGATTTGCTGCAAATTCCGGTGAAGCGCAGCCTGGCCGAAACTCTAGCGCTCCAGTGGGAACTGCGTTTCTTCGTCTCGTCTGATACAGGCCCAGTCCGGTGCTCCCACACAAAAACTCCCGATGGGTTCGAATCGTGTCTCGAACAGTCACTACCCTCGTCTGGTGTTAGGTCCGTCTTGGCAACTGTTAGAAACCAAAGGACATGAGGGCAGCGGCCAATGGTGATGCCTGCCAACGAAGGTATCAACTATCCAAGAAACCGGCGTAACAAGCATCTGCCTTCCTGCCCGTGCTCACTGTTGGTGACTTTTCTTACAGACCATGTTCGCAGACTTGATTGGCTGCAGTGATGTGCCCGTAACTGCAAGGGCAAGCAGACAAATTCCAATTAAGATGCAGTGTGTCTCACGGTGACATTTTTATTGTCAGATGTCTCTTCTGATGCTACATTGTCGACTTTGTGTTAAAATAAAGGTCAGCATTGCCGCTAGTTCTGTCGCACGACTTGGTAAACTGCATGTTCTTCCACCTTTGGACCTTGAAGTTCCCTACTGCATGAACATCTTGGCTTTCATCGCAGACACCGATCACCGGAGCTCGCCCACCAAACAAAACTAAAGTGTGGGTTGTGTGGGTACGGATAAGGAGAGCCAGCAACCAATTTCGTATCGATCAAAGGTGCCCAGTACCGGTAGGAGCTCCGGGACATGGTGCCAGTCGCGCGAGGTCAGCAGACGCAGGTTGCCTGCGGCCTTCGTTTCTCAAAACGCTGGCAAGAGGAGCTTTTCCTGGCTCTGCAGAGCTTCCGACTCCTTCCGTCTGGATATGGGGATGGCTCCCTGTGCATGCGCGCAGTCGGCAAGGAAGAGCTTTGGCAAGTGGCTGAGTCGTTGCTGTCGCAGCTTCGCACCTTTCTGCGCCTGGGCATGGTGGCTTACAATAGTGTCGCGAGCACGACCTCGAAGGCGCGACCCTCAGCAACGCGCAGTGGCTGTGTGGCTGTTTGTGTTTTGATTTTATAGGGGCTCATCCATCAGGCGAGCCAGTGGCTTCGGGCGGGACAGCACTTGGACACCAGCCGTCAGCGGAGTCCGCAAGGATCTCCGGATGTCGTGGCTGGAAATGTTGCCATCGGTGCTTTTGGTGAACGATGGCAAGCAGCTGCCCACATTTTTTCGAAGCTCTGGAGCTGGAGCCTGGCAGACCGGGTGTCTTTCAACACCCTTATCCGCTCCTGCAGAGACCAATTCGGAGGCTCCTGGAGCTGGGCCTGGGCTTTGAGACTCTTGGAGCAATGCCGCGTGGTCCGGTCACGGGACGTTGTCTCCTACAGCTCTGCACTCCATGCCAGCGCCTGCAGTGCCAGCAAGGATTGGAGGATGGGGATCATGCTGCTGCGAGACTTGGAGGTGGAGCTTTTGCAGCCCGACGTGGTCCTCTGGTCGGCAGCGGTCAACTCGCAAGCACGCGCGGCGTCCTGGTCGACGGCTGTGTTCTTGTTGGAGAGGCTGGCGCTGGGCAAGACCGGACCGGTGCAAAAGCCAAGCTAAGGCTTCCAGACTCTCGAAGCTCCTGAGAGGTTGCCAGCTCGCAGCGCCCAGCCCAACATTCAGACTTTCGGGGCAGCCATGGCTCCTTTCGACACAGGTGATTGCTGGAGTTGGGCTCTCTCCCTGATGGAGGACAGAAGCCTCGGGTGCTTTTGAGGCATCTTTCACGAGCGTTCACTCCCCGCGTGTGTTTGTTAAAGTGGTTGAGTCAGAGATGTGTTCAGTCTAAACAGGTTCAGCACACACTATGTTTGCTAGACGCTGCCAGAGTCTTGTTTATGTAGAGGGTTTCGTGAAAGCTACATGAGCTACTTACAGGTAAGCCCGAGCTGTGCGAGAGTTGAAGATCCCGAAAGGATCTGCAGGAAATGCGGCTTGACCCCAACACCTTGATCTACAATGCTGCAATAACTGCATGTGTCTCGGTGCGATGCGTTCTGGAATCGGTATACAGATGATGCTTTCGGGGACCCTGGTTTGTTGCACCTTCCATCTTGTTACCGGAGGTGAGAAAGGCCGAGAGTGGCAAATGTCCTTGGCTCTGTACTCGTCGGCTGACAGAGATGTCAAGCCCGACTTGATCACTTGCAACGCTGCAGCTCGGCGAATCCCCAGTCCTCGGAGTCCTCGGCCTGCTTTAACTTTTGACATCTCCGCGAGGTTCTCAGCGCCTTAGCTCAAGGCAACTGGCAGCTGGCACTGGCCTTCTTCTCAGAACTCGGCCAAGAGCGGAAACTGGATATCTTTAGCTTCGGGGCAGCTCTGTCTGCATGTGACCGGGCCTGCTTGTGGGAGCATGCGCTATCAATACTCGCCGAGCTGCCGGCCAGGAAGTTGCGTGCCAACACCGTGACCTGCAACACTGCCATCAGCACTTGTGCAAAGGCTGGCCGCTGGCAAGTCGCTCTGCAGCTGCTCGCCGACACCTGTGCCGGCACACTGGACGTGATATCCTTCAATTCTGCCCTGGCTGCAAGCGCGAGGGCGGAGGAGTGGCGCCCGGCTCTGCACCTCCTCTCTGAGCTCCCAGCACGCCGGTTGCAGGCAACCTCGAGTAGCTGTAACTCTGCCATCATGGCCTGTGTCGGAAGCTGGAGATGGGCACTGGGAGTCCTCGGCTCTGTGCCTTCGGGCCCGGACAAGGTATCCTTCGATGCGGCTCTCCGAGCATGCGAGGCCCAGGCTGGCAGATGGAAAGAGGCCCTTCAGCTGCTGAGTGACTTTCGGGCGGCGAGCCATCAGCCAGAGGCCACCTGTCCTGTGCAGCACCTGCAGCGCAAGAGTGGAGGGATGTTTTTCAGCCGGACCAAGAGTTTCAGCTTGACTCCGCCACCAGCTCAGGTCATCACATTCAGCACCGGGATTACCGCAAGCCAAGCTGCCAGCCAGCTGCTCGACTACTTGACACAGCCCTCATTCACGTAACACCGACACAGCACTTTGCAGTGAAACGTTCAGCCCTCCTCACCTTTGCGATGACTGCTCCCCCAGACACTGAACATGTATGCCTCCCGCGCTTGGATACTCAGCCCTCGAACCCAACCCAAATCCTGACATGCCGGCAAGGTGTGATCCTAGGGGCCGACCCCAGATGCCACAACAGGAAACATGTATGTTTGTCTCTGTGTGTGTGTGTGTGTGTGCGTGCGTCTGTTTCTCTCTCTCTCTCTCTGTTTCTGTCTTCCTCCTTCTCTCTCTTGATTGTTTTCTCCCACCAGCCCAAACAAAAGGAGAATGGTAGGAGCCTAGGGCCGGGCTCACGGCGCGCAACCGACGGAAGGTGGCAGGAGGTCTTCCAACTTTTGACAGCGCTGCGGAGAGAGGAGCTCCGCCCGAGCCGCCTGGCCCTCGCAAGCTTGCAGCTTTTCCTGTATTGTGCCCGGTACTGCGACCTTGTCAGCGGAATGTCCTCAATACCGTCGATGTGAGCAGTCCACATTCGGCCAGTGATGTAGCCTGTAGAAGGCAAGGTGTTTCAAGCCCGCTCGAGCAATGTGCCAATACTTACATACCATTCAGTGCCTTTTTGTGTCTTCGTAGCGTGTTTTGCATCGGTGCAGGCATTGTGACAGCAGCTGCTGCTGTGCTCGCTGCAACATTTGGCCAACATGGGCTTGAGGAGGGATGTGTGCAAAGTCCCGCCTCCCACCCACCAATGCAGAGCGAGGAGCGACAGATTGTCAGATATGACGCACAGACTGGCATAGAGGTAACATATGCAAGCTGTTCTCGCGATTGTGCGTGGAGAGGTGAGACGGTGGCTGCGCCATCTGCAGCATCGTGGAATTTCTGGTCTGGCTGGAATGCGAAGCTGTTAAAAAACGGCAGCCACTGTGGTGGATGGGATCTTCTGGCAGCGCCGAAGACTGCGACTTTGCATGAACTACCTCGCCTGATCATCAGTGTCGGTTCTTCGTGTGGGATCACGAGATGCTAGAACTGGCGTCTGGCAGTTTTGTGTTCTGCCCTACGTTTCTTTTCAGTCCTGGACGGCCGGGCCATTTTAAGTCAGCAGCACGTGCGCGATGGATCGCAACGGGCTCTTGACGAACCTCCAAGAAGGTTCGCACAAAGTATTCGCAGTGGCGATTGAAAAGCGGTTCTGCTTTCTCAGTTCTCACATATTGGGATTGCAGCCATGATTTCGGTCCTGGCAGGCTTAGAGATGTGACAGATTGTGACAGTTCATTCATCATGCACCCACGGTGTTTCAGAACTTTCTGCTTGCAGGCTTTACTGAAGCTTTCCTTCAAGACCAGAGTCCAAACGGCAAGTACCAAGTAGTTCACCATCCTCACCGGTCACCTCTCCATCGCTGTTTGCGTGCCCGCGCTGTCGACGCCCTCGAGCAAACTGTCACGCCGAAGTCTCTCCGTCACAGCATCCTGGGACTATATTGTGTGGACAAGATTACCCGCAACGATAAGGTAGCAAAACTAAACAGTACTCTCTCGAGAACGAGCTTCACAAGATCTTGCCACGGTCCCTTCAGCACGGATGGGATCCAGAGCCGATGGAGAGGGTCCCGCGAGGCTCCGTCGCCGAGGTCGCTCGCAGCCCCTGGCGCCAGGCGCTGCATCTTTTCGAGCTTGGAGCGCCTGCGGACACCGCCATCTGCAATGCAGCCGCCTGGAGTCAAGAGTCGCTGAGAGGGCCAAGTCTGAGCTGCAACGAGCTGTGTAGATAACTTGCGATGACTTGTAGATGACTGGTCAATCAATCTCATTGGTAGTAGCTGGCATCGCATGCGTGACATGTGCTGTGTGCATGTTGGGAAGAGAAGTTACCAGCAACGAGCATGAGGTGATGACTGCATGTGGAACGGGGGAGCAGTGGCAACGTGCCTTGGGCTTCCTGTGCATGATTGACGGCTTGCGCTTGAGGAAGACTATAGTCAGCTTCAATGCCGCCTTGCGGGCTTGTGGCAAATGTGCCAAGTGGCAGCATGCGCTGCACATTTTCCGGTTCGTCGGCGACAGCCAGCTGCAAGGTGACAGCGTGACTTACCGTACGATCATCAGTGCATGCTCGCAGGAGTGGAACCAGGCTTTGCAGCTTCTACAGGAAGGCAGGGAGACAATACTCGCCACGGATGTGAGCTCTTATGGGGCAGTAATTTCTGCCTGCCAAGCCGCAAGCTGCTGGAAGGAGGCGCTGAGCGTTTTCGAATCTATGGCAGAAGCGGGCGTGGAGGCAGATGCAAGAAGCGTCACATCTGCGATCAGCTCGTCGATCAGAGGTGAGGATTGGCAAGGTGCAGTTGCGAGATTCGCAGACATGCTGAAGCAAAGCCTAGAGACGGACAGTATTGTTCAGAATGCCGGGCTTCGGGCCAGGGGTTGGTTGCTCTGGCAGAGTGCCATCCAACAGCTGGCCCTTTTTTTACAGGCTGGCCTCCGAACCGATGTGGCCTCCTACAACACCGTTCTCAGTGCTTGCGAAGGCCAGTGGCAAAGGTCTCTTGCGCTGGTAACTCAGATGGAGCACCAAGCAATGAAGACGACCGTGGTTACGATGGGCGCGCTACTTTCAGGCAAGAATGAGCTCAGCGAAACCTGGAGCAGGCCATTGCAGTTGCTAGCCGCTTGGTACCGGTGGTCAGCAGAGACAAGTGTGATCTCTCACACCAACCTGCTGGCGGGAATGGCTGACAGTTGGCCTAATGCCGTGGCGTACTTCGCTGCTTTGCAAGCGCGAGGCGTCGTCAAGGTGCTTCCCATGGAAACGGCTGCTGCACATGCTTTCCGAACCGGAGGACGCTGGCAGCAAGTCGTGAATGTTGCAGCCGAGGCCACTGAAGTAGCAGATCTCGTCATGAGGCACGTGGTGCTGGACTCCCAGGTGTCAGCTCTGCAGTGGCGGAAAGGGGTCCAGGTTTACGCATCGCTGGCGCTGCGCAACCTGGAGCCAAACCTTCTCACAGCGAATCTGGCCCTGTCTGCGTGTCAGTGGAGACTAGCTTCGGCACTGCTCCGGCACCTTGGCTTGTCCGCATTGGAAACAAATGCGGTATCCTGCAGCACAGCCATTGCTGCTTGCGGTGCAAGCAGCAGATGGCAGTTTGTGTCGATGTTGTGGGAACGGCTGGAAGAACGACGCTTGGAAACCAATACCATTGCCTGTAACTCTGCCGTTTCTGCTTTGGGGAAATCGATGCACTGGCAGTTAGCCTCCTGGGTGCTGTCAGATGATCGTGTCCTGGGAGATGAGATCAGCTACGATGCCCTTGTGCTTGCCTGCAGTCAGGCTGAAAACTTTTTGCAGAGAGGAAAAGGATGTGAGCTTCAATAGTTTGCAGGGCTCTTGCGACACCTTGCCAAGCACAGCTGTTCGGACGTTCTTCGCAAGTTTTTCTTCCCGCGAAGAATTCGCACCAGCCGCAAGGATTTATACTGCAGCATCGAGGTTTGTGAGGTTTTAAACGCATGAATGCAGCTCGCGTTTGTCCTGCAGAGATTGGCACCCTACTCGCGAGGCTTTACGCTAACCTCAGCTAGACGAGGTGATGCGGCAGCACGGTGGCAAAGTCTGTGCAGTGCGTTCCTATGTTTCCCAAGATTTGCAACAGGTTGGAGATTCGCTCGATGCATGTATGAGAGAGGGTACTCCTAGTTTGCATACTGTTTGTTCTTGGTGCTTGTAGTCCGAAGCTTCAATGTACTTGTCAAGCGGTGAGTTCACCCCACCCCAAATCCAACACCGCGTGCTTCCACGGCTCTTCGTTCGAGGTCGTACCCCTCGCGTGCCTTGCTCGCCAGCTGGTGGCCAGCACCGCACGGCGGGCCCAAACATGCAATGCGATTCGGAGGCTCTGCCAACAGACTGTATGAAGAAGGACTGGCAACAGACTGTATGAAGAAGGACTGGCAAAGCCGGAGATGGGGCCCTGAAGCTCGAGCAGCCGCATAGCTCCCAATCCGACAGAGTGGGTTCCACGAGGCTTCTCATAGCTGGTAGTCTCCATGAATTTGTCATTGTCAATTTGCCGTGAGCTGGGGGCCCCAGGTTCCTTCAAGTCTTAGGCAGCTGTGGCAGCAATGACACTTGATGGTGAGAGAGCTGCGGACCGGAGGAGCTTCCAATCAGGTAGAGTTCCATTTGACTAAGTGGGAGGGTGTTCAATCATCCGTTGCTGGACCCCTCCGCACGAGCACCAGATTAATGAATCATCGCGCAGGTTAAAGCGTGCTGCGGGGAATTTGGCCGGGCGAGCATTGATCAAGCCTGTCTCGAAAATGGTTAAAGTGTACACACGCGGGAAGAGAATTGTTGGGACAGCACATTGAGCCCAGAAGCTTCGGAGGCTCCCGGGCATGAAGCGCTTGCGAAGGGGGCATGCGGTGTCTAAACTGGCTTCCCATCCTGGCGCGGGTGTGAACCATTGAAATCGAGCACTTCTGATGTGAATCGGGGGGCAAAGCTGGCAATGAGCCGCTGAATTCAAGCAGCTGTTGCTTGATGCTCATGTTGCCCAAAACCCTGAACTCCAGGAGAAAAGTCCAAACCCAAATCGGAGGGTGTGGGACAAACTATAGAGTACTTGGTCTCGTTGGATCGGCAATTGGGCGCCTTCTGCTTCCACGTCTTGCAGTAGCGCCCGATGAAGACTTCGGAGTCTGGGATCTCCTTGAGCTTCCGGGTAAGTTGGGATGGAGACGCTCCATCAAAGCGCTTCTGTCTTTGTTGGAGGTTTCTGGCAAACAGTATAAGCATATAGGATCATATAGGCAGGTACTGGGCCTCCAGATGTTAGCCGTTAGCCATGCTCCAAGCAGTCCGCCGCCTCTCTTTACACGCTGATCGTCATGCTGGCCACGATGTTGTTTGCCTGATCAACCTGCAGCAACCTTCTACATGGGACGTCCGCAAAGAATCCACTGCTACTTTTATAGGACACTAGAGTCACTAGAGAGAGACTCATAGTTGCTTGCAGCCCCCCTATCCCCCAGCCTCTATCCCCCCAGCAAGCAAGCCAGAGACTCATAGCTGGCTCTAAGTATTTGCGTTTGCTCATAGCTGACTCGCACATGCTTCCGTTTTGAAGATGCTTGATCGTGCTTAAAGCCCATTGTGCTTTGCTGCACATGTGCATTGGCCCCTGAGTGATGCCGGACATCCCCGTAATGCTAAGTGGACGCGGTGGCAGCTCTGTCACGGCAAGCTGAGCCACCTGATTCGCACGCCATGCCCGAGACATGCCATGGATCCTTACAGAGCTGCGAATAAACACCGATTCTCTTGCATCAAGCGGCATGAAGCACACCAAGCATATGTAGCCAGACAGCCGAGGGCAGTGCATTACTAGGAACAAGAATCGTCTGAGATCCTTGTAATATTCTGAGAGGCAGGACTCGTAAGGATTCCATGTAGCATGTCCGAGCACGTTCGTCATGTTGGTGCCTTTGAGATCCGTGTGACGGCGGTTTGCCCCACTGGTGTCTTGCAGCGGAAGCTGCAACTTGAGGATGTCAATCGGAAAGGATACGGCCCTGCATGCCGACAAGTGGATAAGCTTACTGACCTACTCCTTGATATGCAGACATCTGTTTCGATTCCTTGACACCGGCGATTTTCAGCTGTCGGCATTGGCCTTGTTTCGTTTAGGTCCGAGTGGACGATTGTTTCGTGAAGCTTCCGCTAAAGGTCTTGATATTCGCGAGCAAGTCTTCGAGTATGAAGAGATGATGTCCTTGGTTTTATTTGGGGCTTCCTTGGCGCGAATGTACAGCATCGCAGAGACGAAACCTAGTCGGCAATGCAAATCGTCCTCGGAGCCTTATCGTCTCAAGGTGCTTGGCGCCATAGCCGGGCCTCTTCCTCCCTCGATTGGCAGATGCCGCTTGTGCAAAGAGCTTTATCCCAGGATTCCAAGCACCGAGCCGCCGTGTCTCCCGTTCTTTTTGATGGTACGTTGCATGACTATGCAAGTTAGAAGAGCGATATTGTAGCATCGGCAGCGAGCAAAATTCTCCTTCTTACTCCAGCAGCAGGGTTTACCGCAAGGTCCCACCCCAAGCAGTGCTGTCCATGCGGTATGCAGCTGCCTGAGTTTGAGGCTCACCGAGTCTTCCAGGGGCTGTTACCGTTTCATGTTGTTTCAGATGGCACGTTCTAGAAGAGGTCAGGCTGCTCGCGTGACATCGCCCAAGCATGGAAAGATGTCTTCTTCGGGGCTGCTTCAGATGTGCTCGAATCCTCCCAGGCAGTGGTGCCGCAAAGGTGACACCCTGCACAGAACTTCTATCATCGGTCTCCGCTCCCATCGGTTTTGGACATGGGGTCCGACATGGTTCAGATGGTCGTTTGAACAGATCCGACCCGTCCGAAAGCATTTCGGGCCCTGACTTTTTGGTCAGACCTAGTCCCTGTAAAACATAGCAGCAATGAGCATCACCCCGACATTTCTCCTGACCGGACACTACAGGCTCTCAGTCGAACCGGGCATCCTCCAACGAAGAGTACCAACCCACAACTCCACGACCTCACCTAGACCGTCTTCAAGCAGCCCTGGCCACAGACCGAGTCGCCTCCTATTCGGGATCTCTTAGACTTGCCGGGGGAAGTGGGTTGGGGATTAGACTCTGGCGGTTAGGGTTTCCTGAAGCGTAGGTGCAGCTGAAAGATCTCCCCAGGATGTCTCCAAACAGATGATCCTTCAGCCTAAATATGTGGAGGGCGGCCCAGGCCCAAGGATGACAGAGGTAGTGTAAATGACCTGTTTAAACCCGGAAGTTTAAATATCTACTGCCCTCCTGCACTCCAAGCCCTCCAGCCTTCCAGCTCCAGCTTTCCAGCCCTCCCAGCCCAGCCCTCCAGCCTTCCAGCCCTCCAGCCTTCCAGCCCTCCAGCCTTCCAGCCTTCCGCCCTCCAGCCTTCCAGCCTTCCAGCCTTGCAGCTTTCCAGCTCCAGCTTCCAGCCTTCCGGCCCTTCCAGCCCTCCAGCCCTCCAGCCCTCCAGCCTTCCAGCCTTGCAGCTTTCCAGCCCTCCAACCTTCCGCCCTCCAGCCTTCCAGCCTTCCAGCCCTCCAGCATTCCAGCTTTGCAGCCTTGCCTTCCAGCCGTCCAGCCTTCCAGCCCTCCAGCCCCCCAGCCTTCCAGCTCCAGCTTTCCAGCCTTCCAGCCTTCCAGCCTTCCAGCCTTCCAGCCTTCCAGCCTTCCAGCCTTCCAGCCCTCCAGCCTTCCAGCCCTTCCAGCCTCCTCCAGCCTTCCAGCCTCCAGCCTTCCAGCCCTCCA